CTTCCTTGGGATTGTGACCATTTTCCACCAGCATTGAGTGTGGGCCCTGCAAGGACCTTGGTCTACCCACCGTGCTGTTTAGCCGCACAGGGGTACTGAGGAAACAGCCTGAGATCTGGAAAGGCAGGGGCCCCCTGGGCTTGAGCTTGGACCCTGCCCTTTGTGGAGTCTGCATTCATTGTCCATAATTAGGGACCTCGGTGGGGGGAGGGGGGCGCGCCCGGCCTGGGAGGCCTAGTGTAGCTGCTGCTTTGGCTGGCCTCCCCCCGACCCCTGCATGTGTGTGGTCTCCTTCTGGGGGGCTGAAGAGGGCGTCTCCTCCATGGCCACTCTCTGTCCTGACCTCAAGTCTAAAGAGAGTCACAGGCAGGATGCCGTTGGTCTGAAACTGGCCGGGAGGTCCTGGCGGTCCCATGGTCATCATAGCACAGTGATGCTGTGCACATCCTCACAGGCTATTGCGCCCTCAGAAGTGTCTGCATCCGTTCATTACCTCACCTGTTCTTTGAGGTGACACCGTGTGCCTCACCTGTTCTTTGGGTGATGCCGTGGGTTAGCTTGGGCAGGTATCGCCTCCATCCGTAGATAAGGAAATGAGGTCAGAGGCAAGACCCTCAATGTCATCATCACAGGTGGGAATCTGGGCTGAACTCCTTCCCATACTCCCCACTCAGGCACAGAGGGGTGAGGCTGTCAGACACCTGTCCTACCACTCGCCCCACCCACTGGGGGGGGGACACTTCCTCTGGGAACTCTAGCCTGTGAAGCCCTCACAGACTTCTCCAGATAATCTTTCAACCTATGCTACTGTGACACATCATTTCCAAGAAAACTCCCGAGCGTCTTGGTTTCTCCTCATTTGTCATCTTATACACAAGAAATCGCATCGGCTTTTTCCTGTACATCTTGGTGAGGATGCTCTTCTCGGCAGGGAGGGAGAAGCACCCAATTGGGGCGGGGGGGGGCAACACCATGGAGACAATGCGTCCTGGGTCCAGCCCTACCTCAATGAGACATTGATGGACATGGAGAACACTTCAGTCCTAGATGCCTCCTGCTTCTGTCTGGGTCTCACTGCTTTCCCTCCAAGACAGTTGTGGGGTTTTTTATGTTTATTATTTTTCAGAGAGAGAGTGTGTGTGGGAGGGGCAGAGAGAGAGGGAGACAGAATCCCAAGCAGAATCCCAAGCAGGCTCCAGGCTCTGAGCTGTGAGCGCAGAGCACAATGTGGGGCTCGAACCCACGAATCGTGAGATCAGGACCTGAGCCAAAACCAGGAGTCGGATGCTTAACCGACTGAGCCACCCAGGCGCGCCAAGACGGTTTTTGAAATAAGGAAAAGGTGGTTTGCACAATGCTATGTGATCAGCTTGGTGACAAAGTTACTGTATCTCCGTGAAGTCATATTTGGGTGTTCTGGGTGGGCAGTTCAGGAGGGTGCACTTTGGGGTCTGGCAGTGCTTGGGAGGGGTCCCCGCTCTGTCATTTGTGTAATTTTCTCAATCTGCCTGAGTCTCAGTTTCCTCGTCCGTAAGGAGGGAGTCATGGCACCAACCTGTATGTGGTGGTTGTGGATTGAAGCCGCAATGAATCATTTGTTAGTTGTGCAGCAAAGAGCTGGACACAGTGTCTGCCCTGAACCTCCCAAGGGGACAGCCTTCTCATCAAGACCCAAAGACTCCCCAAGTCCTTACAATGTGAAGTACAATTAGATTACTAAACACGTACTTTTGTTAACATATGGACTGCTTAAACCGGGGACACAGGCATTAAAATTATTCCAACCAGAAGGCTTCCCATTGACCAGAGGACTGTGTGGTGCTCGGTCTGTAAAGGGCACTGCAGGGCTGGCTGGCCCCCCCTCCCCTTCTTGGTCCTCAGGATGACTCAGGGCCCTGGCCTCTTCCAGGGAGCGCCTCTGTTCTGAGTCTGTTTTCTTCTTTCCGTTGCCCCAATCTAATCACCGCTACAAACACTCATGGGACTCTCAAACGCGGGCCACAGTCTGCCGCTTGCTGCTCACTTCCCGCTCTTTTGATGTTGGACTGGATGGTTTTCCATTATTTTAATGGATCAGCTCAACACAAACTCTATCTTTGGCAATCTTCCTAGTTCTTAATGGCATTTTGAAAATATTTGTGGAGTTAGCAGGTTCACTTAGCAGAGAATTTCATGGTGTATGTTTTTTTCTTTTTTTCATACCCTACCTCATTCCAAAAAGAATTAAGGCAATTCAGGTTCATCTCTTAGCACAGATTCCACCTGCATGCTTCATTCAAGGGAGGTTGCAGAAGTAGGTGGGTTTTCTCTGTTTCATCCAGCCTGGCATCTTGAGGGACCCGGGGGTGGGGTGGGGGGTGGGGGAGCAGCCGGGGCAGATTCCGGGGCCCCTTGGCCTGGCCTCACCACTGACTAGCTGTGACAACTTCCGGGAAATGAGCTCAACATTCTGGACCTCGGTTTCCTCATCTGTGAAACGGGTAACAGAACCACCTACCTCCCGGCTTGTGTACGGATTACAGCAGATGAGCATTTGTAAACACGTTGATTCAGTGCCATGTTTTAATAATAAAATACACAGTGCTGAATTGAGCTCCTGGGCTTGAACCCAGAGACTCTGATTCTCTGACGGAGGCGCTGACAATCTGGGGGCAAATCTCTAAATCTGCAGGTAGCAGCCGGATGCTGGCTTACCCAGCTCAGCTCTTAGCGATTCCAGAGCAAAATCTGTTGTTTCTGTTGAGCCTGGGTTTCTCATCTGACTCTGCTATGATTCGGGGGCACATTCGGGGGACTGTGAGTTTCAGACCATGAGGTCTTTCCTACGAAGGCGGAGGCTTAACTCATTCTCTCTTGCCTCCAGCCTCCAAGCACGCTTCCCCAGGGGACCCTGCTCCCTGCTGCGTGGTCACTTTGGGGTGTGACTGCTGTGTGGGGTGTGGGCGGGGTGTGTGTCACTCTCTAGCCCCTCACCTGGATGTCCAGGCCAAAAGATGGGTCTTCAGGTGTCTGTCCAAATGAGTGGCGGCTTGGCCTGTCGAAGCTTTTGTGGGGGTTCCAGTGGAGAGTGTGGAGGGTATGCCGTATGTCCCTGAGGGGGAAGGGGGGGGGGGGGGCAGTCCATCTGTTGGTTCCCGGGGATGCTGAGGCGTGTCCTGACTGCCTGTTATCTCCTCTTGCAGAGTCCACAACGATGGTGTTGTCACCAGCCAGCTCAGAAGCCCAGGTACCTTTAAAACAATTTTTAAGTTTACTTGGTACACATTAAAAGTAACACGTGTCATATAATGTAAATTAGAAAGCATATAAAGTTACACGATTGTTCCCAGGAGGTGGGACACAGACAAAATACTCAAAGACCTTAATCGAAAGGGCTTGATGAAGAGAGCGGACAGGTGAGGACAGAGAGCCCACCAGGGCGGTGCGGAACCTGGCAAGCCAGGAGAGCCCGAAGGGGAAGGGCATCTATGACACCCCGTCTGCCTGTCTTCTAGGCCCAGACTCCAGGCTCTGCTTTGCACCGGCCGGGGGAGGGAGCAAAGGTGATGTGGTCTGTAGGCGAGAGCCCCTGGGTGCAGAGTGTCAGGCGGAGTGGGTCTGGGGGGCAAACAGGAAAACCAGCCCAGTGGCCAATATCCAGGAGCCCCCGCCCGACCCAGAATTCAGATCTTCCCAGGAGCACTTCTCTCTGTGTCTCCCTGTCCCATCCACCTGCCCCCCGGGGAGTTCGTCCCGAACTTGATGTTTTTCATTCCACCGCCTTTAAGAAAGCTCTATGCAAATGTGTGTTTATGTATTAAGTACAGTGTTACACCAAGGGTAGGGGGTGGTCACAGGCCAAAAGAGGCTACATATTCTGTTGTGGAGAATTTAAAAACAATAATAAAGTCATCCCAGAGTTTTCCTCTTTTTTCCTATTACTACATGCTCGCAGTTTTTTTAATGTGTATTTTGACAGAGGGAGCACTCGAGGTAGGAGGGGCAGAGAGTGAGAGAAAGAGAAAACCCCAAGCAGGCTCCACTCTGTCAGTGCAGGGCCTGACTCAGGGCTCAATCTCTTGGTTACAAGAGATCATGACCTGAGCCGAAATCAAGAGTCAGACGCTTTACTGACTGAGCCACCCAGGCGCCCCCACATGCTGGCAATCATGTCAGTGATAAGGGGCGCCTGGGTGGCTCAGTCAGTTAAGCATCTGACTGCAGCTCAGGTCAAGGTCTCACGGTTTGTGAGTTCGAGCCCCGCGTTGGGCTCTGTGCTGTCAGTGCACAGCCTGCTTCCGATCTTCTGTGTCTCCCTCTCTCTCTGCCCCTCCCCTGCTTGTTCTCTGTCTCTCTCAGAATAACTAAATAAACTTAAAAAACAAAATCTTAAAAAAAAAAAAAAATGTCAGTGATAAGATACCCTTCCCAGCAGCACCTTGCCTGTGGTTACCGGAGCTCTGAAGCGGTCTGGTGTTGTCACTATATGTTGCTTTCTGTAATTTGTTTTGGAAAAAAGAACAACATGTTTTCAAGACTCCCCTCCATTCCTGGCAGGGCTGTCTGCCCTCGGAGTGTTCTGGATACTTTGTTTATCCACGGCCCGGAACACTCTCCCCTGCCTTTCAGATGGTGCAACCAGGGCTGTCCCTACGGCCCAGAGTCCCCAAGTGAGTTTGTATCTGCTACCCAGCATTCCAAAGGAGACCTGTTGTTATCAAGTTTGAAAGTATTTACGAGGTAGATACACACAAACTTTGTACGTGGGGGTCGAATCTGGACTGTTGTGCTGGGGGGCCCAAAAATGAACCATGAGAGCCCCACCCCAGCCACTATGGCAGGGCGGCCACTTGTGTTAACCCAGATTCTTGCTACTGGCACTGGGGTAAAGCTGGTCTCCTGTGGCTACTGGGAGCCTGTTCAGTTCCTGTAACTCCGGGCAGGTCGGGCTTAGGTTCTGAGACTCTGGCTGGCTGCCCAGATTTTTCCTTATGGGAAAGTACGCGCTCTTGGCCTTTCAGGGAAAGTTTCCAGGGACCGGGCTGGGGCACAGAGAAGCTTTTAACAGAGCACCTATCAGATAAGAGGCTCACGTTGGAGTTAACCCTCTAACTCTAGGCCAGCTACGAGGAGAAAGAGGCATGGCTGGGTTGCAGTGATACTCTGCACTGCACTGGGGCGGGGGACTTTCCTACTTGGCCCCTTTGTCTGCCTCCATGCGGTAGGGACCAGGGCAGAGCTGCCCTGGGGTCGGCAGGGTCTCTAGAGCTGAGTGGGCGTGAACCTCCACCATCGCCTCCTTCCTGGCACCTACCTCTGGGCCAAGAAAGAACCAGGGGCAGTTGTAGTCCTGGTGGGTATTAGGGTACTCTCTGGAGATCTCATGCCACAGAGGACTCCCCCTGGCCCTAGCCTTGTGCCCTCCAACTCATGATTTTGGGTGGTGACTTAAGAGCTGGGTCTGTGACCCTCGCCTACCTAAAGCAGAGATAGGACCGCCTCCAAGTGGGGCTGGGGGCGGCGGAGACGGGTGTTGACTTTGGGCTGGAACTTTGTTCTTCCTAACAGGTCCGCCCCTCCCCCCACGCTGGCCCCCTCCAGGCTCAGGGTGTTTCCTGAGGCACTTCTGCAGGACGAGAAGGCTGGCTTGTCCGCGTCTCCTGCCCAACGTTGGCTCCCTGTGTGTCCTCCTCCAGCTCTGCTTGGGCTGCCCCCACCCTCCGGGCCCCAGGCGGTGGCAATGCAGGAAGTGAGAGGAGATGCCAGAGGGCCCCCCACACCCTCAGGCCCAGTGGACTTGGGGGTGGAAGGTGAGGGCGTGGCTCCACGAGCCACCAAGAGGCCTTC